ATGGTGCTGAAGAGCTGACCGCTTCGTTGTAATGACTTAGGTCTAGTGCTTAGATCTTTCAGGTCTTCATTATTGACAGTGAAATTGATATCTTGGACACTGGCCTTCACAGGCCTACCACAGCAAAGTGTTGAATTAACGCTTATAGTGTTAAAGTCCAGCTGGACTCAAATGAACATCATGAAAATCAATTCAAAACTGAAGATTTTACTAAAGGTTACTGAGAGTTTGTCTTAACATATGTGTTGTAGGTCTTCGTCACCACTGCCAACAAGCCTGGACTTTTAGTCTTGACCACGACAACACTTTTCTAAGGTTACTAACAATGGACGATGGCTAATAGGGATGAGATGGCATAACTAATCCATGCATTTGTTAGGTGCATTGTCATTAAGGGCCATCTCCAAGCTGTCAAATGGTTAACAGTGCTCTGTAGTGGGAAAAGCGAAGCCAGGAGGAGAAAGGGATTTTGTTTTCCAGAGCGATTTGGCAGCCGCCGTGGAGGGGAGCGATGTTTTGGTCTGCGATTTCTTCTCTGCTCCTCGCTCCAAAACTCGGAGAGTTGAAAGCTGTCACCGGCTCGGGCCTACGTTCACGTCTTTCGCTCTGAGTTCTAGAAAACAAAAACCCCAGTCCACTTCTCCACATTTCACTTAGAAATAAAAGGCTTTTAACAGCACATACTTTAAATAGTTTGGCTTTTAGAGGCCTACATGTGCCTCTCCATACGAAGTAGAAACGAGGCTGATTATATGGCATCGACGGCGGGGGACCAACGTCACGTCTGTCACCATAATTGCCGTTCTGGTCTGCTCCTGCTTGGCGGTCTGTTTGAGGTCGAGGAAATGAAAATGCAAATTCATCCTGGGCCGAAAATGCCAAACAGCCAGTTAGCGTGGCCCAAATGTTTAAAAGCACGATAATGAGCTTGCTTTGAACATGGCGAAACATTCGTAATTACAGTCTGCTAGCTCAGCGCAGAGAGTGGGAGGAAAATGGGAAAATAGAAAGTTCAGTGGCTCTGCTCCCACATGGAGCTGCAGAAAGCTTTCGCTGAAAGTAAGGGCCGATCCATAAAATGGAGTCCTGCTGAACTTGCACAGTAAGCATTTAAACAGGGCTATTTCTGAACGTTCAGGGGCCCCAAGCCACGTCCTACTTGGGAAAATAATATTGTGTAAGAAAGAATTAGTAGGGAAACTTGCTAGCTAACATAAGGACACAGAACTGAGTCTGTTTTGCTACTATTACCAGTGAAAACAGAATCAGTACAAAACATCAGAGGAGCACTTTAGAAAATCAGGACATGAATAACAAACAGCAGAAAGCATATTTAACAGTTAACCAAATGAAGCATTTCATATAGTATATGACTACATTCTCCCGGGGCCCCCTGGTAGCTTGGGGGCCCCATATAGCTTTCAGCAAGATATGACCTTGTGTTTAAACACAGCCCTGAAGTACTTTCTCTGATCTCATTGATGTCCTGGGCCTTTTTCAATATGACCCTATGGCCGCTGAAATACTGTGTAAAAAAGTAGAAAGCATACATTTAACAACAAATTACACAGAAACCCCAACAACTGCATACAACATCACATTTCTCATTGTTTACTGTGTTCACTCTTTGGCTTTCTTGCAGCTTCCATTCTTTTCTGGAGTCTTGCTTTCATTTTTACAAAGAAATCTGCAGGGATTTTCTGCACCTCCAAAGTTCAGTCTTAAAAGTTGGTTGCATTTACTGATTTTTATGATCCAAGTAATCCCAAACACATTCAGTGATGTAACTGACAGCTACACATCCTTTCAGACTCGTAGTGTTGAGTTGTCTTCTCACAGTGGAAGGATGGACAGAAACACCTGTGGATTTTTTCAGATCTGAAGCAAAAATGGAGCTTGATTTTCTCAAAACTAAAAACCTTTAAGTACTGTTTACCTGCTGGTAACAGTTTTGGTGGTCTACCAGGTCTTGCATGGTTGTTAGGAGTCCCATTATCTCTACATATTTTGAGCACTTGTGGAACTCCTGTTTTTTCACTTATGTTCCTTTGACTTTCCCCTTCATTATGCAAGCGGTCATCTAACATCTAATCTCCTCTGAATAATCTCCTGAAAAATGATTAACGTGCACTCAATGGCCATTTTGACCAGAAATTGAATCAATATAGGCCTCTTGCATAGTTATTTGCATAGTACTGTACATGTAAAAGTATTTGAATTAAATAGCCCTTTTGTTTTATGCAATTCCACTGTGTTCTGCTCCTCACTGCACATGCGGTGCTACACTCACACACAGCAGGTGGATAATAGTGCTCCGGCCTCAGTGGCTCAGTATGGCTGAAACGCATTTTGCACGTTCATTCTACATTGGCACTGGGCTAAGGACATTCTTTTGGTTGTTCACCCCAACCGCACGCTCTTAACAGCTGGGCCATATTTCACTCAAGCCCTGCAACATTTAATAGTTTCTTTTCTTTCTTTTCTCACAAAACCTCCGATCCAAGAGCTCTCATTAATAAATTTTCCGCCATCAGAAGGCCCTAATGCCTCAGCCAGCAGTCTGACAAGGGAGAGAGTGCGGTTATGAATTGGGTGCGGGGCGGAGAAAGAGAGGGAGAGAAATGAAAGAAAGAATAATAGGACTGAAAAAAGGGATTTTTTTTGGTCTCCGAATTGATGCATATGTAAACATCCCGGCGTACACAGGCGTGCGCCTCCCTCCCTCTCTACACATATACATTCCTTCTCATACAAACACGCACACATATACACACACCCTCAGACTCTTCCCCCCTCACTCTCTCGGACTGTCTCCTCTGTAATAGGCTCCAGATGTGGTGCTGAGGGGGTGAGGCGCTTGTATGTCATCCGCTGTGAGCGCGCGGCCCGTCCAAGGGGACGCCAGCGGGGCTCGAGGTGCTGGGGCCGGTGCTGGGGCGAGCGGGTCACTGCCTACACACATCTGGAAGCACTTCAGGTCAGCAAGGCCTCGGCTGCCTGAAAGGTGAGACACCGTGCTCCGGCCTGCCGCGGAAAACACGGAAGAGCCCCGGGCGCGAGACGTACAACGCTGCACCATAATTTACGAACATATCTATAATCACACGGCATTTCATTAAGCTTCAAGAGTCTAGAGTTATCATCATTTTTCCATACAACTGATTCACATGGTATAATTATTGCAATTACATAATTAGACCGTTAACCTCAAAATTACATGAATAACACAAACACTTTATGTTCCATATTGACAGATTCATGTGTGCAGTTTTGTCACTTTATGTTTGTTTTTGATGTCAAAAAAGGCCAAAAAAACAGCACAAATTTCAAGAATGTTTTTTCTTACTGCTAAAAATCAAAGCTGTGCACACAACGGCTTTTCATAAAATTTGGATCATAATAAATAAATCTCCTCTTCTACTACAAACACAAATGTGGTACGAATTGATAGATTAGGATCCGCACTTTCGACAGAATTTCTCCATTTGTTTCAATAAACTACGAGTGAGAAATAATTCAACAATATGGGTTTCATGGTGTACATGGCTTGGTGGACCACCATGACTTCAAACACCATCAATTGTTTATACTTATTTTAAATGCATACAAACAACATTACATTATTATGTAATACATGATATTATTGCTATTTGCACTGATTAGATGCTAAACTGCATTGGCAATGAAGCAAAATCTAAATCTAAAAAAAACTGTTGTTGTTTATACTCATTTAAAAATATCAACATCAAAACAAAATCTGCTTTGCATATATGCAACTATGATCGCCGCTGTTTATATTCCATCAATAATGTGTTACATGTACCAAAAATATACTCATTTTTCCTTCACAGAGCTTCCTGTAAGCGTGTGGTCATTTCGGAGCAGCTGTACACAAGGGCAAAGCAGCAAAAGATGTATTTGTGCAGTAGTACATTAGTATCAATATGACGTACAAACTACGTGCCCCAGTGGGAGGAAGATAATGTGCAAAGCTCGATTCTACATAAAGCGTAAGTCAGGAAAAACAGAAACCTGGCCTGCACCACTGTGGTGACCAAACCTTAAGCCCAGGAAGCTCCCATGGAAGTACTTGAATTACATTAAGAGAACATCTATCAAGCTGGAGGCGCAGTCGGAGCCTGCCAAGAACACACAGATAACAACCCAACATCTGAAGAGTAATGGGAAAGTAATGTCTGTGTAAACACAAGGACGCTCGACAACCGTACAAAGAATAATTCAAGGAATCATTTGTTTTATCTCAATTACTTGGATTAAAAACAGCAAGTGTTAATCATCTCTGAAAACAAACATACTAAGAAAAAAGTATTAAATCACCAGCCCTCACACAATACTGGAACTTGGCGTCTGCATCATACAATTCTCTGTAGATGCTGCGATTACAGCATTTAAAAAATACATATTTCAGTTTTTGGACATGACCAGATATAGACACAAAAGAGAAGAGTGGAAACGTCCAATGACTTTCCAATTTTTTTTTTTTTTTTTTCATGGAAAGAGTCAGATCTGGAGTTAATAAAACATTTTTATAGCAATCACTACACTTCCCAAATTCAACATCATTATCATTAACATTTGAGGAAAGTGGGAAATCCATGATGTTAAGCCTTACTGACGTTAAGTCTTACCATGTTAGTTAAAGACCAAAGCAAAAAAAAAAAAAAAAATTGAATTGGATTTTTTAATGTTATGATAAATGCTCTGTTGCCTGCAACAGTCATCAGCAAAGATCAGGGACGGGAAAGTAGCAGAACAGCTAATGATGAACTAGCTTTGAATTCGGTGCCAAATTTTGAACATATCAGATGATGTGATGGTCAAAGTTGCACCACCTTTTTGAATCGATTTAAAAATTTCATTCTGACTGATTTCAAAGCTGCTTGAAATGAAATCATTTTTATTCTCAGAAGCTTTGCAAATATAAATGTCATACAGATGAAAAGAGGAACTATGAATGGTTGTTCTCCAAACGAGTTACATTTGTGTTAGTATGTGGAGCAGTTAGATAGACCATGGGCCAGCAGTTACTAGTCAGTGGTATAGTATCAAGAATAAAATGCATTGAGAAACTTCCCCTGGTTGGCATTGAACCCAAGGTCTGCTGTTTTTAGATGTTCTCAATCAGTCCACGGGTCTTCATTCTCATATAACAGAGTTGTAGATTTCCACATCATTTTCAATGAGTTTCCAACAAAAGAGCTACACGTCACCTTTTCATCTTTTCATTCAGGCCTTGTGTAATTTCATACTTCAAATTCAGCAAACTACAGTCTTCCGCTGGCTTTCTTTGAAGAACAAATCCAGTTGAGCCAAATTTAAAAGCCACAAAAAGAAGAACAACAAAGAAAGGAGAAATGACATCATCCAGACACTATGACTGCCTCGCAGTCTCCATATCAGAGTCCAGATATATGAACAAAAAAAAGTAGCTACATTCATCTGCAATGATGAAGATGGTAACGAAAAAAGCCAGAGCAAAAGGGGAATGAACCATAATTCCAGGAGGGTTGGGGGGAGGAAGCAGGGAGACTGTTCCATTCTCAGTGGAGCTTTGCTCTGCAGAAGGGCAGAAGAAGGATCTCTGCTTCAGACCAATTCATCCAGCTCTTTTGAGGCCTTCCAAGTCATCCAACTCCGTTGAGGCCTTCTCTTTTCTCTTCTCCTCCGTCCTCCCCTCCTTCACTCTCTCACTCCCCTCTCGTCGCTCTGCCTAAGCTCAGTTAACGGTGGGCACCTGGTTGAGGCTGTACTCTTTGGCTTTCAGTCTTAGGTTTGCGATGCTGTTGGCCATGTTCATTCCCTGGGTGGAAGTGGTGTTGGCACAAGTGGGTGGGTAGTTTGCCATTGTGCTGATGGAAAGGAAATACAGAGAGCAAAAGTCAGGTTTCAGTGCTGAGAAAATAAATGTAAAAATTTAGGTGGTCAGCTGAGATATTTTTAAGCAAACAGTCTCCATAGGGTGACTCCAAACAATGTGCAATATAGATTAAACTTATATAATGATTTAGAAATGTATGACATAGTAAAATGAAAAGTACTTGCTTTCTGTGGGCAGCATTTTCTGTGGCACTCGCACTGGCCCTCCCTCCGACCTTGGGAACCAGCTTAAGAATATATAAATAGGTATTAATGCTTTGTATATGGGTTATTAACATGTAATAATCACTGCAATGTATGTGCACATCAGTGCCTTATGTGTGAACTGGATCAGCAATGGCCTGTTTTACTGGCATGGTTACTGTTCATCATGGTAGCCGTGCCAGAAAACGTTCCCAGTTGAGGAACACTTTTGGACTGCCAGGAACCGAGGTTTTGGCCTGGACGGCCGGGTCAGCTATTCTATACAGCACTTTTAAGGGCTGAGATTACTGTAAATCATAACCAATGTAACCAGAGTCACAGAAAATCCTGCCCAGTGGAGCTTTTCTCCTGTGTTTGTTAGCGCGTATCCTATAACCCAAAGGTCATGAGGTTCAGAGGTGGATTTAATACGGTTTGTTTTCAGATTATCACCTCATGGCGAAGGGATCGCTCCCACCCCACCTCAACTGAGAGAGAACACTATGCAGAACTGGCAGAGTATGCAGTCAGTCTACACTGCTTTATTTTACTGTCATTTTGATTAGAGAAGCATTTCATCACAGCATTTCATATACTCCTTTTGGTCATTCTGTTTGGCTACGAGAAATATTTTAAAAAGTGTCAAAACCATTCAGTGAGAGTAAAGAATATGAATATCATGCTGCAGGAAACTTTGAAGACAAATATCCAGACGGCTGAAATGAGGCAAGGTGGTGGAAATAAAGAGAGTGAAAGGCTGGGTTAATAATGCAGGGATGGCAGCAGGCATGAGTCGAGAGGAAATGAAAGCAAAACATAGTGGGTACCTAGGGGGCATGCTGGGATTGAGGGGGCCATGAGAGCAGGGGGTACACGCTGGGGGTAAACGCTTTTGGGAGGTTATCAGGGTTACCTGTATGGGGCGGCGCTGCCCCAGGATAGGTAGTCGTTGGGCCGGGGGGCAGGGCGGGGGACGATGGGCTGCTCGACCGCTGTTACGTCTCCTGAGTAGGATTTGAGCAGTGAGGCATTCTTGCTGGCCAGCATGGCCCGCTCGTTACGGCGAAACTTTGCCCGTCGGTTCTGGAACCAAACCTGCAGGGGACACAGCACGGAACAGATTTCAGTTATGAAAGTCTACTTGTTGAGTAGAATTTTTGAAACATGCTGTGGTCAAAAAATGTCCTTAAACTCTGTGCACCCACCAGTGGATTCCCATCCCTCACCCTCATAACAACATGCCTTACATAGTAGCTTTAAAGAAAGTACTGAGTGATTTGTACTGGATTGTGGGCATTAGGCTTAAAAAGCAAAACATTTGAAGGGTTAATATAAAAACTGTCTATTGTTTTGAGGTAAATTCTTTGTCTTCACTTTACTTTAGTTCTTGGCTCTTTCACTGCAGTGTGTTTTTATAAGATATGTTTTAGTTCAAATATATCTCTGATAATTATATTGATGAACATGAAATTAGACAGACGAACTAAGGCATATAGGATTCAGTACATCAAAAGTAGTGAAGGACAGCATATACTTTTTAAATGAAAAAGTGCTATAAAATAATTAATAAAACATTTCATCTCCCAAAAAAAAAAAAAAACATGCAGAAAATAACGAAGTGTTTCAATCATGTGTCATGTTTGAAATTATTGGAAAGGGCTTCTATACAGAAATAAATGTAGTATGTATAGTGATTATTGTGTAACTACACACATGAGAAAGGCACAAGCAAATAAAAACAACTCAGCATGTCTGCATTTCACCATGTATTTGTCAAGGAGGGCCAAGAACTGGAAGAAAAAAGGTGGAACTTTCCTTTAGATGAAGAGCTGGGTAAAACTAAGTAACCCCTTAAATGGCCAGGGCCCAAATGCAGGCCCAAGGTTTTATTACGCACTTCTACAATCTAGGAATGCACTGAAGTCCCTGTAGTTACTGAATAATAAGCTTTAGTGTGTAATACATGAGGGATTTTAATGGGGGTAACTGGACAACAGAACTGAACAAACTGAGTTAACTGAACTATATTCAGCATAATATTGCAAAGGCAGTTTTTTTAGCCTGAATCCTCCATGCAAGAGTGAGAAAATCATCCCAGACAATATGGTGCATCGCACAGCCCAAACAGCATCCTAGCGTGCACATACAGAAATCTCAATTCTTCGGGATACATTACGCAGCTGAATGTAGTACAGTTATTTAGTGATGGTTAGAATTTGACAACATGATGATTGGAAATTGTTTTTTATTTGATAACTGTATGTTTTTTTTCAGCTTATACCGCTTGTTGCGGTGTAAGAATAGTCGCTTTACTCTATGCTGCTTGGATCTACTTTTTTGCATCTACTTTTCTGCCACTATTAAAAGCATACAATTGAAACTGTGCTCTCCCTTCTTTATTTAATTTTATATTTACTTTGTGGTAATGTTGTACAAAAGCAATACAACATTTGAGATCACAAAAACACTAAAACACTCAAGATATCCTGCTCTGTCTCATGTTCTGTTGTTTAAAAAATGCGCTATATCACACATTAAAAGACACAGTACAGCATGCACTATCTATGGTGTGGTACTTTGTGCCTGTACAAGCACAAATGACAGACCTAGCAGTAGTGAAGCGCCACTAAGTGCTAGTGGAGCCAGGCTCTCCTTCTGCAAGCTCCGGCCGCAGCCGGCAGGCCTGGTGGAGACGCAGTGTCCGGTTACGCAGCGCCTCAGGAATGAGCTCCAAGTCGCTTTTATCAAAGCCTTTCTGAATCGTTCACCCTCTCTGGGACACATTAATCACAGATGTGTTTTTGCTCGCTTTATTTCTCCCTTTTCCTCTCTCTCTCTTGCTCTCTCTTGATCTATAAACGGGTATAATCCCCATCGTTTGGTGAAAAAGGGGAAAAAGCCTCTCATTACAACATGTGGAGACCGTCTCGGGCCCGGAGCATGTGCATTCAAACTGAGCGAGAGCTCTTATCCAAGCATTTTCAGGACGCCAGCAAGGTCCACACACAAATCTCAGACACTCTGAAGTACATCTATAGTAGTCTCTTCTAGACTGAACAGAACATCTGGGTTAAATGTCCTTAGAACTAGTGGCAAATGTTCATAACTGTTCATAAAGTTATAAAATGGCATGGCATACAATGGAGTATCACAGACAAGTCAAATCAGAATTCGATATGCAGAATATCTCCTGGTGGACGCCCCAGTAAGCAGAACTCAAGGTGTCTTCCATAATTATCCTTTGGCGGAGTGGTGTGTCCAGGGGCCAGACCTGGTCTCACACACTGAGAAACCAGAGTAACCTTCTAACCATGCACTTTGGATGGATTTCCCACAGGTCAAGAAAAAATCTACGCCGTGAAAAGCTGAGCTCATTTGTATCAGACATCTCGGTCCTGACTCAGGCCTGCATTTTTTTCACTTTTCATATCGTATCAGTATCACCACATGGCTCATTCCCAGCTCTCGTGGCTAGATTTGAGACGTCTGATGCATTTGGGCTGTAGGCCTACCTGCACTCTGGCCTCGGTGAGGTTGACCCTGCGGGCCAGGTCCTCTCGAACGAAGGCGTCGGGATAGTGTGTCCTCTCAAACACTCGCTCCAGCGCCTGCAGCTGGCTGCTGTTGAACGTGGTCCTGTTCCGCCTCTGCTTGCGCTTCTTTTTCTCCTCTGAGTTCAGCTGCTCATCTGTCCACACGGTCACATACAACATGCACATTAGCAGTGTTCTCAGACAGCAAATAACACTGTTGGAAGCAGCCTCTGTCAACCGAATATCTAATAAATAACATATTCCAAAAGGAGGCCAATTGTTCAGTGTGATAAAATCAGTAAGCCCTCAAACCTCAGGCTTGTTACTCGGTTGTCAGTCTTAAGATTCATTATTCAGGAACTATTATGAACTATTCAGTGAAAATAGTATGAGATGTCAGTAGAACTTCAAGTGGACCAAATAAGTGTATAAGTGGTTAAAGTGAATGAAGTATTTAAGAACTATTTATTAGGCCTTTATCTTCAGATCTCTTTTAGGTCATTCCTGAACAAGAAACTGCTTTGAGGTAACAGCGCTGACTGTTTAAGGCCTTTGAGTCTGTGTTTAGTTTTTGTACAGGTAGGCATATAAAGTCTAGCCTGCTGACATATTAAATCTTAATGGGACTCTTATTCATTGGAGGATTAGCCATTAGCCAATATGAAGTAAATGACTTCAAGGCACCAGCTGTAAAGGCAATGCAGGCTATCGGATATAAGCAGTCTAAGGCTAAGTGTACGCCTCAGACCTTCCAAACTCATCTGGGAATTTCACACATCCTCAATATTGTTCGGATAAACTTATTATATTTCAGTCCTAAATGCACAACTAAAAGGTAATACTTTAATAGAGCAAAGCTTACTTGATTAATATATAACTGATGTGATCATATGTAACACTGTCTTTATAAAAGCTTTATATTATCCATTTATTAACATAAATGGTCAGTTTAATAGTCTGTGATGTGATTTGGGACACGGCCTGTATTCACAGTGTATGAGCTAGGCCTGCGGTGTGTTTCCCTTACAATGTGTTTTTACCGCAAACACTCAAACGCCTTTTCACTTCACACGGTAGTTTAATTAGTCCTCGCCGGCCGCGATTAGCAGAGCAGAAAAATATTCAAGACTACGCAGCTGCCATTGGTCACAGCGCTATTAACGCTCGCTTTTCATTGGCTCTTCTCTCTGCGCTAATTAGAATAAATCCTCTCTACCGGGATCATCCAACACTTACGTACCGCAAATACTACACAGCGTATGTGTCTAATCTAATAGCCAACTGATTTTCTCTTTTATATGAAGCGCTTTTTTAATATGTATTTATTTTTCCGCTGATTGTGAAGGCAGAGCCGTATTCAGACAGGTCGTTAAAAACCAGCAGCTCTAATAAAACGTGCTGATTTTCCGTGTGAACACACAAACTGCGCTGTTCTGCAATAAGAGCGAGAGTCTACAGAATTGACTGAGATGGACAGATCTGTCCTCATTTAAGGTCATGGAAAAATAATGTATGTTTTTTATTAAATTAAGTTAAAATAAAAAATAGAAAGAAAAAATAAAAAACAAAATAAAAACACTGAATTGTAATTTAGTTTTATATATAAGGATTCATATATTGCTATATATATATATATATATATATATGTGTGTGTATATATATATATATATATATATATATATATATATATATATATATATATATATATAAAAACATGCAGTATGTCATATATAAATATGACATATCGGGTGTGTTTAGAGACCTTCATCAAATTATTAACACAGACCTACTTAGAGTACTATTTTGTCCACACTGTAAAAACAGATGTTAAAAAACAGCGCATTCTGTCTCTGACTAGACACAGCAGTGTGTTCAGTTGGAGATGAAAACATTTTGAGTTCGTTTAAACGCTGTGTAAAGTTGTGTTGTATTTCTGTGATCACACGTTTTGTGTCACTTTTAACCAAGAATGGCTAAAAGTTGTTCTTTAACACTAAACGTTTCTGAGTGAAAGTTGCCTTTACATTAATTTCACAGTGTCGCAGTGCAGTTCCAGGGTACTGACATACACACACACAAACACACACGTTTTATAACCACAGTGTCTTATAATCAGACTCGTTTTATCGCTCTTCGCTCCTGATAATTTAGGCCGCGCTGTTTTCAAGCTATTAATTAAATTAAAAAATCAAAGAAAAAAGAAAAATGAAAATATCTGTACGATCCATTTACAAGATCTACAAGAATTATATAAAACTAATACAAACAGAACCGCATAGGACTAAATCAATAGCCTCCTTTTATTAAACTGGAAAAAAACTGACATACAATTAAATAAAATCAGAAAAACTGGATTCGGATTTTTAGATAAAGTCACAGCCTAAACGCGGTAAAAGACACTTTCTCCATCTGATATAATCACAGATCACCGCTCAGAGGACTCAGGTGGGCTGTTTATTATGGTCTGATTGGCTGGAAGCTGAATTAGTCGCAGATTTCCCGCACTGTCCTGTCAGCTCATTCACACCTTCATTACTCCTCCTCACAATTCGCTTCTGTTCACGAATTCGCGGTTATGAATTAAACGGTTGAAGTGACGACGGTGCGAGTACTGGACTTTCAGGCACTGTGGACTTCAGGTCAAAGCGGACACTCTGAGAGGCTCTTATTTCAGCTGATGCTCACCGTGAGTGTAAACAGACTAACTGCATTTTTAAAGCGATTTTATCCAGCATTGAAAAGGGATTGTGTTCAAATGCACCGCCTTATTTTACCCAAACGATTTGGTGTTTTATTTTAAAACGTGAGCCTTAAAATCTCTAAAATGCAGTTTAACTTAAGATAACACAAAACAAGTCACGGGCTACTGTTCTGTCCGTTATACTC